ACTTACGCCGTAGGTTCGCGCCTATGCACAGGGTATGTAACCATACGCCATCGTACGCCAGCATACGCATAACCTACGCAGGGATTTCGCCGAAGCAAAATTTTTTCATGAAAACGCAGCCTAATTTAGGCGGTGTCGGTACGCCACACTATGCATCTCTAAGCATATCGGGTGTGAAAAGGGCTTAAGCACGCGAGTCAATCGTAGTACATGTCCAACTATCTGATGATCTGAGCGTAGCACGTACATTCGTTCAGGCGGCCATTACGTAATAAATAATAACCAACGTTTCGACATATAATATAGTTTCTGGCATTATATTTCGGTAGAGGGGGGGGGGGGGGGGGGTCTAAAGCCTTCATAGTTCCTGGAATTTCCTTGGTGTCAACTGGAGTTTTCGAGCCTCAATATTAGGGACTTTTAGATTTGCACGACGAGAATGTGAACTGGTATGTGTGACATCGTTTTAAGTCAATGTGAAATGCTTTAAGGCACTGCCAGAGCCTTATAAGGACGTCACATTGGCAGTCCACGTTCTCGTTGAGCAAATCTAAAAGTCCCAAAACCGAGTGTGCTACGGAATTCAGACAGAGTACTTTCTCATGACACATATTCTAATGGGGGTAATGGTATTTCCTGAGAAAGCCATGCATATTATTCTTTAGAGACAAGTCTCTCCCGGACAAATCAACCCAATAGAGTACCAAAGTGTGACGACATACTGTCTTATTTGTTAAGGTTGGTGTGATGATCACACCAGCCCCAAATTCTGAATTTGCCCGGCTCCAGCCCATTGCTTGAATATCTTGGTGAATCTCATGCGCAGGCTCTGTTGTTTAGAACATGTAATCCGGATGACGAGTGAATATGACGTTAGCACTTCGGTACTCTATACAACTACACTCGAGCTATCACCCCATTAATACCATCAAAATAATCAAGACAACATAACTAGTCAGAACTAAACGAGTGGGAAGTTGTGTGCGTGTGAGTGTGTGTTTGTGTATTTGCGCAGACGTTTGCGCGTGTTTGTAAAAGATCATGTATACTAATAGTGCTAACATAATGAAAACCTAACTTTAAATTCTGTGGATGTATTGACCATGAATAAGATTTTCCATTGTCTAAAAGAACAATTGCTACACTTAAAATCATTTACATATTTAAATTCTAAGACCACGTGTCACTAGACACAGTTGTCTTGAAAACTTTAGTAGTGCAAAATTACGCTTTGTTAATATTTACGAAAGACACAATAATCACGATGTTTCATATTTTCTTTTCGCCGAACGGCCTGGATACTTTCCATGGCCATTACGAAAATCCTCACAACGGTTGAGTTTTTTTTCAACTTTGTGGTGATGGCATATCTACAAAAATCATCCATCCGTGCACGATGGAAGTATGGGGTAAATCATTTTCATTCTGCACAAAAGACTGGGCAACCACAAAACAACATTATCTTAGAAGAGAGGAATGCAAGTCCCCTAAACATTATTTTTCTGGGATATGCCGATCCCGCAGTTCCGAAAAATTATTTTCATTAAAAAAAAAAAGAAATTGCAAAAAGGTGTTTACTGCGGCACAGATAAATGAACATACTTTAGAGTTTCCTATCCAGGGATCTTGGTTGTTCTTGGTGGAAATGCTTATTTGATATCCTTTTCTACGTTGTGTAAAGTTCGTAATAAGGCGTAAACTCAACTGATGGCACGGAAAGACAACTTACCCTTCGTTCAGACTAAAAGCATTCATAGTATACCTGCTATATCCTTAATACCATTACAATTGTCCTAGTCTGAACGTCGTTTAAAGGGAACATTGTACAACTAAACACCTGTTCGAGCATCGTTTTGAATGAAAACTCGATGGAGAACGTTGGTCCCGTTGTAGTCTTAACGTCGTTTCGTACAAAAAAATGTCTAACCGGTCGGAGAAAAGCGTGACCGCCCACTAATGGTTGGCCGGTTGTTATATCACCTGACTTCGTCAGAACTAGTTTCTTCATAATACGTTTCTGTATACGATGCTGTTTTATAGCACATCCTTTCCCTATACGATAATTCGTTAAACGACGTTTCTTTATCGGGGCAGCGCCAGGAGCGTCACAACGTGACGGACATGTGCGCTATATAAGAAGCAACCATTATTATTATTATAAACATTTCCTGTAAACAGGATGCCAACCCATCCCCTCAATTACATTTCTGTTTTAACATGAAGTGGCCCCACCGGAAGTTGGCATACTTTTCCGATTATATGTATTTAGTGGCTAGCGATAATGGAAACATAATTATTAAGTAAGTATAGAGGTTGCTCTTTTAAATTATGATATACATTTCATGGCTGGGGCAAAGGAATATTTTAAAGTTGGCTTTCTTTTTAAGACGTCAAGGGATGTAAACGATTGGGAAACGCCCATCATTCGTATCGAAACCAACCAATCAATTCCTCATACTTGCTAAATTCTCTGGAATATGATAAGGAATTAAATTGTATTAAACGAGAGTTAATGCTTAGTCTGTCCTATATATGGATATAGTATATCGATGGAAATATGATTAAATATAAATGTTTGTGAAATACAATCGTCTACCAAGATATACGTCTCGTCCGTATCAGGACAATTACCCCCTGGGCAATCACCCCCCGGAAAATTACCCCCCGGAAAACTACCCCCCAAGGACAATTACCCCCTGGAAATTTACCCCCCGGAGAATTACCCCCCGAGGACAATTACCCCCAAGGACAACTACCCCCCGGAAAATTACCCCCCGGAGAATTACCCCCCGAGGACAATTACCCCCAAGGACAATTACCCCCCGGAAAATTACCCCCCGGAGAATTACCCCCCGAGGACAACTACCCCCGAGGACAATTACCCCCCGAGGACGATTACCCCCGAGGAAAACTACCCCCGAGGACAATTACCACCCGAGGACAACTAACCCCCGAGGACAATTACCCCCCCCCCTCCCTCGAAACACCATTACCGCGGCCCGAGGACAATCACACCCAGGGAATTTGTAACACTGTGACGTATAATGCGAGCTCCTCTTCAAATTGCTATTTAGAGAAAATGTCATGAACTTTCATTTTCTTAGTTATTTATGACGGAATAGATTTGTTTCGTACAGGGGTTGTGTATAAATTATATTTATATTCGTAGCTCACATTCAAAGCCCTCGTACCCATCTGCCAAATCTTTTTGCTTGACGTACATGTATCCTCCTAGGAGGAGATTTCACCCGCCCCTCTCGCTCTGTATCCATTCCACCTTTGTGAAGTTTGACTTAATATGCCACGTGTATTGAATCAAATTCAATTGCCAGAAGACGCATGTATCAAATCAAAGTACGGAATTTACATTTCTTAGAAATTTAACAATACATTGCGCGCAGATGAGTACGCGTTAATACAGCTAGTCTCCCCAAAAATGGCCCAACAAAGAAATTAGGATGTAAGATATCATTATTTATGCATCCTCTGTAACTTTTCTAATCAGCTGATCGTATATTTGTCTTTGTATGTATAATGGGCCCTCATCCATGATCTATTCCAAAATTAAGGTTCTCTTCATGTTTATAAATGTAATGTAATATATATATATATATATATATATTTCTGTTGTCATGGTGAACTAAAATATGTTTTCTTGTACTGTAATTTATTTTGAAATAAAAATTGCCTTCAAGTTAAATATATGGTATGCACGGTGCCATATTAAAAGAAAATAAGTATCCGCACGTGGGTACATTCATCTCAATGATGTTGTAATTCCAGAGCAGCGTTTTTTTCAACTGGGGTGCCGCAAGAGAATGTTAGTTACATGACAATTTTTTTTGGCAAACGTTGATTTTGTGAAAAACAAATATCAGAAAACGGGTAGAGTATTTATTTTCATGAGAAAATAAAATGTAAACAAATAATAAAATGTCTTTCTTCCTTGCTCACTGACAATATTTTGCGAATATATATCTTTTATTTCGACATCACATTGTTACCACACTCATCACAATTATAAACATGATGAATCAAGGCAACGAGAGGCCCGAATATCCTCATATTCGTGTATCAAGGTCATGACCGAATATTTCACTTTATATTCGTGTACATTCGGCGGTGAGGCGCCCGCATACCTTAAATCTGTGCTAGTGTGTTGATTACAACATTATGTTTTACCATTTTGAAAATGTCTTGTCCTTGTTTTTCTTGCTCGTTCACTAAATCAAGAAACAAATGTGCCCATACGTGTGTACATAGCACTTGACGAGTGCCAGAGTGATGCAAAATAAATAGTTTGTGAAGAATTTAAGATTCGTGTCGAACAAAAAGTTGAAATAACGCTGCACAAGAGAAATCCTTCGTAGAAAACAGCAACCACAGTGTTGTTGCATAGATTATAGTTAAAGAAAAATGTGTAGTAATGAGGAAGATCACGCGCAAGTATTTGAACGAATGTGGGTTCATGCACGGGATTTTATGGGCTCGTAGCCTTCACAGCATCTCTCAACGTGACAGATCGTCTTTTCCTATTGAATCCTGATTGTCCCCGGGGGAGGGGGGGGGGGGTAATTGTCCTCGGGGGTAGTTGTCCTCGGGGGGTAATTTTCCGGGGGTAGTTTTCCGGGGGGTAATTATCCTTGGGGGGTAATTGTCCTCGGGGGTAATTATCCGGGGGGTAATTGTCCTTGGGGGGTAATTGTCCTCGGGGGGTAATTATCCGGGGGGTAATTGTCCTTGGGGGGTAATTGTCCTCGGGGGGTAATTCTCCGGGGGGTAATTTTCCGGGGGGTAATTGTCCTTAGGGGGTTATTGTCCTCGGGGGGTAATTCTCCGGGGGGTAATTCTCCGGGGGGTAATTGTCCTTGGGGGGTAGTTTTCCGGGGGGTAACTTTCCGGGGGGTGATTGCCCAGGGGGTAATTGTCCTAGAACCCGTCTCGTCAATGGCTCCAACAATGCTGAAGGAAGAGTGGAAGTCTTGTACGGTGGATCGTGGATGACCGTTTGTGATGATTACTGGTATCTGCGAGAAGCAAGGGTGGTCTGCAGGATGCTCGGGTTCGACGGAGCCTTGGAAGCACCTGGTTCGGCTAGGTTTGGGCAGGGAGCCGGTGATATTATTGATGTAAATTGTTACGGAACAGAAGAGAGCTTGGCAAACTGTCCAAACATAGGGACAATCTCTTGGTGTGGGCATCACGAGGATGCGGGTGCTGTATGTTATGCAGGGGGTATAAACTCATTTCATATGAAAGAATAATTTACCAACGGTACCTAAAGAGGTCATTCTATTTGGAAGAGCACATTACAAGAACATTTACATTTGTCGTCACAGTTGTTCCTATCTTCAGGTGATGACACATTGATTGAAGGGAAAATCGTGTTTGCTTAGTAACAAAGCATGTAATAACATTTTCCAAAGTCTTTCATATTTACAAATTCAAATTTAACTGGCGATATAGTGAAATTATGATCAATTGTGTTACATGCCGTTTTTTGTTATAATCTTTAAGAAAGACATTGCCATATGAGTGAGTAGCGAGCACGATCAACCATTAGGATGATATACGTCACTTCACTATACAAATTCAACATCGTATTTGAATAATGCACCAAATTTCTGATGTTGTTTGATTCTTGAATATTTTCCGGACCAAGTAGAGGTTTCAAGTCATATTTAGTTCTTTGTAAAGTTAATTAAAAGCACTTTTCATTCATTCAGCCCACCCGAATCCATTTGAAGTTCGTCTTATCAATGGATCAAACGACGCTGAAGGCAGAGTAGAGGTACTGCACGACGGCTCGTGGGGAACTATCTGTCATTATGACTGGGATCTGAGAAATGTGAGGGTGGTTTGTAGAATGTTAGGGTTTGATTGAGCATTAAGTGCACCGAGATCTGCAAGGTTTAGTCAGGGCTCTGGTCGTATTCTACTAGCTTGGGTTGAGTGTGACGGAACAGAAGACAACCTAGTATACTGTGCTCATCGAGGGATTGGAGATTATAGTTACTGTGGTCATGTATGGGACGCAGGGACAATTTGTTATTTCGGTATTTTTTGTTTACAATCCAAATTAATTTTGATCAATACATCTTCCCCTCGCATGGAGCATAGAGAGCCGACCGGAGACACGGCGCTCGACATGACCACGTAACGGTTCCACATTCGGTGGCGACCTGTATCGCATTGAGAGGTTGACCCTTCACTGCCAATGCACAAGTCGGTGATCCGACATTGGCTCTGACGACAAGTTCGCCGGGTTTTAGTTCGTCAAAGTTACTGGGTTAGGACCCAGGTTACAACTGGGTTAACGGGAGAATTGGAAAAACGGATAGACGTAGTGTTGGATTCAGGGTTGGAATTGAGGAATTGAGTTTGTATAAGATAGTACTGCGGAGTGAGAGTCTTACAACGGCGCAAGTCAATGCCAACACGTTACTTTGGGGGATTCCCCAACATCGCCCAGCAGACGCCTGTTTTTGTAGGCCGCTATAACGCATAGCCCTGCATATTTTCAACGATTGCACATCCTTTTGCCATCAACGGGCACAGTGAAAACAACTTTTGTAAACAGTCCAACCGGAACCTTGTATGAACAACTTGAACAGATTTCTACTGGCTTCTAGGAAGAAAAGAAGGGCTTGAAGAATGAAAAAAAAAAATCATTATTGTTTTCTCTTATTCTTTCGTTTAAAATTTGGAGGGAAGATTAACGTTGAAATTACGAAAATACTGGAGCCCCTTTCAGTACGAACAAAATTGGCGACAACGGTTCTTCGCTATAAGAAAACATTTTTGATGAAGGGGTAAATAATGGAATACATTTACGAAAGCTTTGATTACACAATTTATGGTAACATATTTACACATCTTTTCCATCCAAAAGAACAAAAAATCATTACACTTTTTATACGTGAAACAAATGAGATATAATAATAATGACAACAGAAGACAAATACTAAGATCTTCTGTTCTGAGGATCAGGTAAATAAAATGATCACATCCCTATAAACATACTCATTTCATAATATAAATACATATATATATCCATATATATATTATATGTATATATATATATATATATATATATGAATACATCGATCATATGTCTTCAATAAATATTTGATTTGATTTGATTTGATTTGATTTGATTTATTGGTTCATTTATTGTCTAGTGTCTAGTGTGACTTGGAAGATTTTTTTTTTCTCAGTTTGATTATAAGTTCGACTTTTTCCGCAATTCTGCATCGAGCCTGCCGAGGACGAGGGCATTAGTAATGCAAATCCTCATCACGATTAAGTTTTCTTTTCAACTTTGTGGTGCACCCACAACAAAAAGTGAGTCATTTGACACATTTAAGCATAATTTTCGTGAGTCAGGTGTAAATTGACTCATTAGTAACAACCAATGAGTCTCTATTGACTCATTTATATTTCACCAGTGTATCAATCATGAGCTGACGCATTTGCAAAATGCTTCGACTGACTCACATGGTCGTAAAAAATGAGTCAAGATCGACATAAGAGCATTTTAGAAGAAAAAAGTGAGTCAACTTGAAAGTGAGGCTGTATGCATGCGCGCGCATGCTTTCGTGACGTCATCCAAAATGCGCATTCTCGAGCCATATTTGAATTCCCGATCGACGACGCGACGCACAGTGGGCCAGGGAGGAACCAAAGTGCGCCAAAACTAAGTTTGGGTGATTTTTTTTTTCAATTTTTTTCTTGCCCAGTTGAAAGGTAATACATAGAGGAATACCTCAGTGAAATATTTAATTCCGTTATGTACAATAAGGGTATAAATTTACTACTTCAAACAGCAAAATCCTACATATTCACAGTTTTAGTGCAAAAGTGACTTATTTTATAAATCTTTCAATTCAACATGAAGTTTTTTAAGTTATTGATATGAAATTGCTCTCACATATTCCTGATAGTTCATTTCGTTGAATGAATGGGTTAAAATTAATAGAAACACAATCTTCATGATATATTATAGGGTAATTCACTGAAAAATGGACTAATTATCCATGTTTTTTTATAAATCCAGAAGAAATGTTTAGATCTCCGCAGTGTACCGCTTAAATTTTAATACCACCATTTCCTCTGATGTCTAAGCTTTAAGTTGATACCAAATTTGGCTGCCCGATCTTGCCCGTTGTTATGTTAGAGCCGATTTCCCTTGCCACATTGCCCCGAAAAATGTGGGTTTTGGGGGTCCGCGGCTGAATCATGAAGGATTCGTGGTCATAAATCACGGCGCGAGGGGGCGCGTGACACTTATTCTGACACCGCGGACCGAAATAAACACATTTTCGGGGCAATGTTGCAAGGAAAACGGCTCTAACATAATACGGGCAGAATCGGGCAGCCAAATCTGGTATCAACTTAAAGCTTAGACATCAGAGAAAATGTTGGTAATAAAATTTTAGCGCAAATCCCTGGAAATAGATTAGTTTATTTTAGTCATTTTGTTGCATAATTAGAGTAATTATAGCTTAATACTTGGTACTCCATAAATCTTTGGACTAAGTTAGTCTGAATGCAACAACAGTGCCCACCTTTATTCATACGAGAATAAAAGGGTGGAAAATGAAACGAAAATTTATATTTCATATCATCACTACACTTTCCTGATATCCATAGACTTCTGTCAGCGCGATCGCATGTATTTCAATGAAATCAAACAACTGCAATGCCATTGGCCTTGTCCGTCACCTTTGAAATTAACGAACGTTACTATGTCGTATTACGTAACCCAAACCTGACTTCTCCGAGATAAGCTGATACTGCAGTTTCGAAAGGTGTGAATTAAATTTTAGAAGGTTGTTGCGATCATGTCTGTTTCGATAATTTTAAATAGATGGCCCCCAAAAAAGGTGTCTACAGCGTCAGTGATAAATTAATATACTTTGGCATTTCCTGTCCAGCGATCTCGCTTGTTCCTGGTGGAAATGCCTATCTGACATTCCCTTTTACGTTGTGTAAAGTCCATAATAAGGCGTAAACTCAGCTGATCGTACGGAAAGACAACAAGCATTCAAAGTTTAGGTATACGAATCTCGTATTGCTCTACGCTAACCGTTTATAACATTTTCCTATCATGAACGTTGTATAAAGAAACGCCTGCTTAAGCATCGTTTCGAATGAAAACTCGATAGAAAATCGTGGTCCCCGTGCCGTTGTATTCTTAACGTCGTGTCGTAAAGAATCGTCTAAATGGTCGGGGATAATCATGACCGCCCACCAATGGTAGACAAGGTTTTTCTTAAGAAGTTTCTTTATACGATGCTGTTTTCTAGTCTGTTTGAACCTTTCGCTATACGATGATTCTTTAAACGACCTTTCTTTATTCGCGTTTCATATAATTTCCTTTAAGCACATTGACACCTCCATCTCCTCGACACCATTGTCTGCTTTGACAGAAAGGGGCCAACCGGAGTTTGGCATACATTTACGATATTATTATTCAGTGGTTAGCGATCATGGGTAACTATTAAATATATAATCGGGAAGCATAGAAGTTCGCTTTTAAATGATACGAATTGCATTACCAGGATACAAGAATATTTCAAAGTTGGTCTTTCTTTTTGAGACGCCAAGGTATTTAAACGATTAGGAATCGCCGTAAATCGCATTGAACTCAACCCACGAAATGCCCATACTGTTAAGTCCTCTGGCATATTTATAGGGAATCAAATTGTTTTAAACGAGAGTTAATGCTTAGTCTGTTCTATACAAGGATATAGTACAACGTATGAAAATGTTATTAAATATAGTTTGTTTGTGTAATACAATCTTCTACCCAGATGTACGGCTCGTCAATGGCTCGAACGACGCTGAAGGAAGAGTGGAGGTCTTGTACGGTGGATCGTGGATAACCGTTTGTGATGATTACTGGTATCTGCATGAAGCAAGGGTGGTCTGCAGGATGCGTGGGTTCGACGGAGCTTTAGAAGCACCTGTTTCGGCTAGGTTTGGGGAGGGAACCGGTGATAGTATTGATGTCCGTTGTTACGGAACAGAAGATAGCTTGGCGGACTGTCCAAACATATGGACCACTTCTTCATGTGGGCATCATGAGGATGCGGGTGCCGTATGTTATTCAGGGGGTATGAACTAATTTCATATGAAAGAATAATTTACCAACGGTACCTAAAGAGGCCATGCTATTTGGAAGAGCACATTACAAGAACATTTACATTTGTCGTCACAGTTGTTCCTATCTTCAGGTGATGACACATTGATTGAAGGGAAAATCGTCTTTGCTTAGTAACAAAGCATGTAATAACATTTCCCAAAGTCTTTCATATTTACAAATTCAAATTTAACTGGCGATATAGTGAAATTATGATCAATTGTGTTACATACCGTTTTTCGTTATAATCTTTAAGAAAGGCATTGCCATATAAATGAGTAGCGAGCACGATCAACCATTAGGATGATATACGTCACTTCACTATACAAATCCAACATCGTATTTGAATAATGCACCAAATTTCTGATGTTGTTTGATTCTTGAATATTTTCCGGACCAAGTAGAGGTTTCAAGTCATATTTAGTTCTTTGTAAAGTTAATTAAAAGCACTTTTCATTCATTCAGCCCACCCGAATCCATTTGAAGTTCGTCTTATCAATGGATCAAACGACGCTGAAGGAAGAGTAGAGGTACTGTACGACGGCTCGTGGGGAACTATTTGCCATTATGACTGGGATCTGAGAGACGCGAAGGTGGTTTGTAGAATGTTAGGGTTTGATGGAGCATTAAGCGCATCGAGATCTGCAATGTTTGGTCAGGGCTCTGGTCGTATTCTTCTTGATTTGGTCAGGTGTGGTGGAACA